TTGCAACAAAAAGAAATGTTCACATATCTTGAAACCCTAATTGAAAGGTTCACATTATATGTTTTTGCTATAGCATATACCTTGATGTCATCTAATCCAGCATCTTCAAAGGCTGAAAACGCATCCGCAGACAAAACCTCCGCCCACTGCAAATTTTCCACAAAAAGTTGTATTTAGAATTTTGATTACCATTAGTCAAAAGAGATCAGTAGTACTAGTGAGTTATATAGAAACAAGAGAATATCTATTACCTTGTAACTGTAATAACCAGCTGCATAACCACCTAGCAAAATATGAAAACGTGGATGACTGAAAGAACTACAGAATGCACTTGCGTCAAGTAAGCACACGGCTGCTGTCAAAGGGTTTGCTTACCTGCAAATATATGGCTGAAGCTGCAGAGGAATCTATCCTCTGGAAGTGGAGGGATCACTTGTGTCTTTAGGGATACCCTTTGATCAACATCGTAAATAGACTCTGTCCCACCTGGCACATACTTTGTGTGCAGCTCCAGATCAACAGTAGCAAACTTCAACTGAAACAAAGCAAAAGCCATATTTACTGAAACGTACTCCTACAGATCCGCTGCAGAAAGAGATTCCTAGTACAAAATATGAACCACAGTAAGTTTGATTATGATGTACTAACCTGACGAAGACTAAGAGACCCTGCACGGAATGTTCTTGCAGCCAGGAGCTTCTTGTATACATCCTCGGGAAGAGTTTCTCCTGTTTGATAATGCTTAGCAATGCTCATTAAGGTATCCCTGAAACCACATTCACATAATGTTTAATACAAATATGCCTCAACGCAGCACTGAAAAGTAAAGCCAAGAGGGGATAAGTCACTTAGGCCCAAACATTTGTAAATCAAAATCAACAAGGCAGTTCAACCTAAGTACCTGTGGTAGCACCAGTTCTCCATAAACTGTGAAGGTAATTCAACTGCATCCCACTCGATATTTCGGATACCAGCCACTAGCCCCTCATCCTCTTTGGTAAGCATATGCTGAAGAGCATGGCCAAATTCATGGAACACAGTTTCTACCTGTAAATCAGAATGATATTGTCACGATTCATGTCAAGCTCTCCTACATTAATTCCAAAAGCACCAAAAATAGAAGGCTACACAAAGGTCCAAATGAGAAGTGGTCTATCTACTGCAAATCCAAATGATAGATCAGTTAACTTTCATCATAGCATGCCCCTTCATGATAACAAAATGAAAATTTCACACAATACCATTCCACAATAGTAAGAAAAAACTCAACTACACATGGAGCAAGTTTTGTTTGGTACGAACATAACTTATAGTTCGGACTATGGCTAATCAGAGAGTGTTACCTTTACCAACTACTATGCCATACTCGGCCTTTACTTGAAAGTTGATACAGGTAACTCTTTCCATACTCCCTTCACAATAGATATAATCTATAAAGATTTTCTTTACCTCACGGAATGTCATAAGGCTTGGCTTGTCACCAACCGGTGGAGTTTGGTTGCAGACCATCTGGGCAACAGGTAGCCTAACGGAGGAACCCTTCTGTGCCATGACTCGGCTACGGGAAAAAACTTCATCCATCCAAGCGCCACCTCTCTTTTCCGAAGGACGAGAGTATGGATCAAAGTAGAAATAAGCAGTTGGATTTCCAGAAGAATCTTTGACGCAGTAGAACCTAACGTCGCTGTTCCATACCTTTAAGGCAATGAATCAATGATGTATAACATGTTAACATAGATAATAACATGCTGAATATAAGGAGAAGCAGAACATAATAGGATCCAGATCTTACCGGAGCTACACCATCGGCCGGCACAACATCAATTCCAAATAGTGTCTTAGCTAGACGGAAAAGCCCATCCATAACCTTCGGCAGTGAGAAGTAGGGTCGCAATTCTTCCTACAAAGATACAAGCAGTGGCTGATAAGCGTCAACAGTTTCAAAACAATATAGTTCACGAATAGGGACAAGAACCTCATTAATATCGTATTTCGATTCACGGAGTCTCTCACTCCAGAAAGTGATGTCCCAGTGAGTCAAACTGTCAGCTTCTGCAGCACCTTGGTTCTTTGCAAAACTCTTAAGGTCTTCTATGTCTATATCCATAACGCATGAAAAGGTCATTAGTTTATGTCTTCATAGTCCGATGCAAGAACACTTTGAGGGCCATCATTGCATACTTTATTGGACAGATAAATGCAGCAGCAGCCTACTAGTTTAAGGAATTTAAGGAAAATCTTTACTAAAAGTTACCTTGAACAGCTGGAGCCCAAGAAGCACTGCGAAGCTTTTCTAATAGCTCATCTGCTTTCTCTACCGTAGCCATTTTCGTGGCCATGCTTACCTGGACAAGGAGAGTCATATTAAATTTAAGCCATCGAGTAAAAGGCGAGTAGCGTGACATAGTGAGATAACTGTACCTCAGCGTAATTGCTGTAACCAAGAAGCTTAGCCTTATCCAATCGGAGCTTCAAGATTTGATCGATAATTGCTGTATTATCTAAATCACCGGAAGAGGCACGAGACAAGTAAGCACGATAAACTTCCTCACGCAGAGCACGATTCATGGCATGTTGCATGACGGGAAGATAACTAGGAGCATCCAGTGTAATGAGCCATGGTCCAGTGTCAGCAGTTGCATTTTCATGTCCCTTATGTCATATTTCAAGACGCATCAGCAGCTGAAAACACACAATATGAAACTTTATCTTTCAGATCAGTGTCCATACCTTGGAAACAGCTGCTTGTGCGAATAGGCCAAGTGCAGATGGCGGCAACCCCTCAATCTCTTTCTTGTCTGTTATCAACTTTTCAAACTTCTTTGTAGCGTCCAAGACGTTCTCAGAGAACTTATGAGAAAGTTTTTCGAGTTCCTACAGTGGAAAGCGGCAAATAATGTAAGCATGTGATATTCTAATTACACACAAGCCATGCTTGTGGACATATGGAGCTGTAACACCAGTCACACCCTAGATCCATTTACTAAACAAGCTGACATTTATTATTAGTCAAGGGTCTGTAGAAAAACCTGTTCAATTTTGTTAAAATCTTCCCTCTTGTCATCATCAAGAGCAATACCACTGAGAACCGCCTCCTTTATTTGTGCTGAAAATACACGGATACCACAGTTAACACTGAAAAAATAAAAACACGTTCTTTCTTTATGCCCAAGTTATAGTTACTTACCTTCTACTAATCGTTGACGAGCTTCACTCAATGTTTTCCAGTCAGAGGATTCTCGAATAGACTTGAATGCATTGTAAATAGGTTTGCTCTGTCCCAACCTGAGCTGGAACTTCACCTTCTCTGGCTGTAGATTAAAGTAAAACGAATCTTAATTCACTGAACAAACAAATGAACACAAAATCGCAAAAGCCTTTTCTTGTCTGAATCCATATAATCGACTTAAAAGACACTCTACCAAACACATGTAGACAACAACTGGTAAGACTAGCTTCACACCAAAACCACATAATCTGAATCACACAACTCATGAGCAGAAAAAAATACAATTAATAATATATTACCTGAACTTCTTCAATAGCAGCACGAAGCTCAGGAGTGTCCTTGACAGCCTTGAGGTGATTGATGATTCCCCAAACAACAGATAACCGATCAATAATCTTCTCTAACGGCTCCACTAGTTTTGGCCATGAAGGCTCTACATTCTTTTCTAACTGCTCCAATTCAGCTTCCTGGCCAAAAAAATAATAATACCAAACAGAAAATCAAAATCATCAAAACCGTTTTCATACATTTGTCAACAACAGCTATACATGCGATCACATCAACAATCCAAAAACATAGACTCAATACAAACACTCTCTGAAACAGAGACGGGTGAGAAGGAGAATCGTACGAGTTGCTGTAATAGAGAACGTATTCCGGGTTTGACATGGTGAGCATCGACGACGTCGAACGGAGGGAACTCAAAGTTTTGTAAGAGAGGGTTCGAGGAGAGAGAATCTTCAGAAGCCATTGAAGGAGATAGAGACAGTGCAGGTTGGATCTGGTAGGGAGGCGGGACAGAAAGGGAATGTAAGCAGAAGCTGATGGGGCAAGTATGTGATTTAAGGAAAGTTAAGGGGTAAAAATGATAAATAACACAAATTTTTGTTTGCGTTGAGAGGGGCCCGAGATTGTTAACTAAACCTTGGGGTTTAATCGCGCTTTGTATTATTAGGACGTGCCTACCACCTGTTCGACGAAATGATTTTTTTTTTGGTGATAAGTCGTTAAAAGTATTGTTTTTCTGAATTGCATGATCCGAACACCTAGTTTAAAGTAGTTTCTAATTGAAAAACGGTTTTTTCTCAATCGCTTTCGAAGATAACATTGTTTGGCATGTGGGTTTGTTCTTGCACGTAGCTTAAGAGTTAAGACGTATAATATCATTTTGTTTATTCTTCAGGCCAATTGTTTTGCTTTCCAGCAGAATTATTTATCACATTCCTTTCACATGATAACATACGGTCTTATTTCTTGGTTCACATAACAACTATACACTGACATGACATGTTCTTAAGTTAACATATGAACCACCTGTGCTGGTGTTGATTAATCATCTCGTGTTCAGTAACTACTCTTGGTGGTTGTGCATAAGCTAGTTATGTGAGAAAAGGTTAATGTTAATTGTTCCACTTTGCGTTCTGATTCTGCTGGGAAATTACATTTATTTTCAAGTCATTCTGCTTAATAAGTTTCACCTGTAGACAGGCTTAAGGAAAAACATGATGTTTTCTCTTTAATATGCCGTGTGATTATCTTAGGATGAGCACTAAACATGTCTTCCTGATTTTTAAAATCTTCCATGTCATACTCATTACCAATATTATAGTAAAATTTTCAATATGGATTTGATTTGTTTACCCTTATGGTCAACTATTCTAGTGACTTAAATGGTTGTTTATAACTTGATCATTCTTCCAATAGCATTGACTTGGTTGTTTCAATTCCACCATCTTGGTTTCTTGTGATAACAGCTGTATCTCCCTGCAAAATGGCCAACCTAATCCTCTTCTTCTCCTCTGTTTTGATTCTCCCTTTTGTTTATTCAGTTCACTTTAACATAACTCGTTTCGTGTCAGACAGTTCTGAAATATCATACCAAGGAGATGCAAAAGCCAACGGAGCTGTCGAGCTTACCAACATTGAATACACAAGCCGTTCCGGTTGGGCTACTTACGGTAAGAAAATCCCTCTATGGGATCCACAAACCGGTAAGCCTTCGGATTTCACCACCCGTTTCTCCTTCAGGATAGACACACGTGGTGCCGCCTACGGTAACTACGGTCATGGCTTCGCCTTCTTCCTAGCTCCCGCGGAGATCCAAATGCCTCCCAACTCAGCTGGTGGTTTCTTGGGTCTGTTCAACGAAACAGACGTTCTCTCTTCTTCTTACCCACTAGTTCATGTTGAGTTCGACACGTTTACTAATCCGGAATGGGATCCTCTCGACATGGGGTCTCATGTGGGGATCAACAACAACTCTCTTGCTTCTTCTAAGGCAACTTCTTGGAATGTATCCACACACAGCCAAGATATAGGCCGTGTGGTGATCTTGTATGATTCCGTTAGAAGAAACTTGAGCGTCTCTTGGTCTTACGACTTAACATCTGATCCACGGAAGGAGAATTCTAGCCTTTCTTACATCATTGATCTTGCAAAAGTGCTCCCTTCAGAAGTAACGGTTGGGTTCTCTGCGACATCTGGAAGTGTCACTGAAGGAAACAGACTTTTGACGTGGGAGTACAGTTCAGACCTGGAGATGAGAGATATCAAGAAAAGTCAAGAAGACAAGAAAGGGATGATCATTGGTAGTTCAGTTTCCGGGTTTGTTTTAGTAACGTTCTTCATTGTCTTACTCATCGTCTTCTTGAAACTGAAGCAGCGGAGGAAGGCAGGAGTGGAGAAAGAACACTTGACATCGATAAATGAAGATTTAGAAAGAGGAGCAGGACCAAGAAAGTTCTCTTACAAAGACCTTGCGTCAGCTGCTAACAACTTCTCAGTTGATAGGAAGCTAGGGGAAGGAGGGTTCGGAGCGGTTTATAAAGGCTACTTAAACGGCTTAGACATGATGGTTGCGATAAAGAAGTTCGCGGGAGGAGGAGGGTCTACACAGGGGAAAAAAGAGTTCATAACTGAAGTAAAGATAATCAGCAGCTTAAGACATCGAAACTTAGTGCAACTCATTGGTTGGTGTCATGAGAAAGATGAGTTTCTAATGGTATACGAGTTCATGCCAAACGGTAGCCTCGACGCGCATCTATTTGGTAAAAAGCCTCATCTAGCTTGGCCTGTGAGGTGCAAGATAACTCTCGGTATAGCTTCTGCGTTACTGTATCTCCACGAGGAGTGGGAGCAGTGCGTTGTGCATAGAGACATCAAGGCGAGTAACGTGATGCTTGACTCTAATTTTAACGCTAAGCTTGGTGATTTCGGGTTAGCTAGGTTGATGGATCATGAGTTGGGGCCGCAGACTACAGGGTTAGCAGGGACGTTTGGTTACATGGCTCCTGAGTATATAAGCACGGGAAGAGCGAGTAAAGAGTCTGATGTTTATAGCTTTGGAGTTGTTACGTTGGAGATTGTTACTGGGAGAAAGTCTGTTGATCCGAGACAAGGGAGAGTGGAGCCTGAGAGGAGCCTTGTGGAGAGAGTGTGGGATTTGTATGGGAAAGGAGAAGTGATTACAGGTGTTGATGAGAAACTTGGGAGTGAAGGGTTTGATGAGAAGCAAGTAGAGTGTCTTATGATTGTTGGGTTGTGGTGTGCTCATCCTGATAGTAACTCGAGACCTTCTATAAAACAAGCGATCCAGGTTTTGAATTTTGAAGCAACGTTGCCTCATCTTCCTATTAAAATGCCTGTTGCTAGTTATCATGTGTCGTCTTCGAGTGCTGCAACATCGGTTAGCTCTGGTGGAGCTGCGACAGCAACGTTTTCAAGTGCTCAACTTGGTCGTTGAAAGATGATATAAGTTTCTTTCTGTTTGTACTCTTGTTTCTTGACTGTTTGGTGTGCATTGCATGTGTGTGTGTTGTTGTATCTAGTTCTTGTGCATCTGTAATTGATATTTATTGTTACTGTTTCTCTTGCTTGCAAAAGAAGTTTACTTATTTGAAGCTGGGTTTTCATTTATTTCGATCGATTCTCCACATGAAACATATTGATGGCAAACTTCAAGAGCAAATTGGGTTGAGTTGTGTGCGGACATATCTGGATCAGGATAATTAGTTTCAGTGTTTTCTTGGGTCCTAATCTGGCGTTGGATTGGGCTTTTGTGTAAGAAAAAGAAAAATCAATGAAAAATATTTTTTATGTCGCGCCAGGTAGGGGTCGAACCTACGGCCTTCTGCTTAGGAAACAGACGCTCTATCCACTGAGCTACAGGCGCTTTGTTGATAGTCAATTATGTTCTGAAGTTATCTATAATAAAAGATAATAGAGAATCGGTTGAACCCACTTCTATAATTCAACTTCTACACAATGGTGAGTTTGGTGGCCATTTGATTTGGGCTTTCTGGAGAATTATTTTATTTGTTATAAAAAAAGAGGATAGAAATGCTATGGTATGAACTAGTTGTTTAGTTCACCAACTAGCACCATTCCTACTTGCGTTGCAATTGTTTTGTGTTATTGAAGACTAAATTACTGTTAAATCACTTTAGACACCAAATTAATAAATCAAGCCGGCGTAGAATAGTTTTGTGTTTGCTTTTTGCTTGTGGACTATGGATTAATATACATAGGTGTATGAATCAGGATGCCATAATAGTGTACTTTCAATATTTGAATTGACTCGTATGGCAAATTGAGACATACAACTACTAACAATCTATAGTTTCACCTGGGTTGTCTCTTGGAAAGTTGGTTGATTTTAATGCCTTTAGGTGATAAACCAAGAAAAGTCTACAATCCTTGAAAATTAAAGAATCCATCCAATGCTTGATACTATCTAACAAGAAATCATCTTAATTAGTGTTTATTATCCGCAGCCTTACTGGTATCAGTGGCGGATGTAGAGAAGGAGTTAGGTGGGCAGCTGCCCCATATAAATTGTTGGAAAAAAAATTATTTTCATTGATTTCTTTCGAAAATTTTATGAGAAAATGTTAAAATCTTCTAATGCCCTCTATGTTTAGGTTCAAATTTTATATTGCCCCTGATGAATCTTCGGGCCGGCTCCGCCGCTGACTGGTACAAGGGTGGGTCTCACACAATGTCACGCGCGACAGTGGTGGTTACGTTTAGATATATTCTTAAACCAAAGCACCTAAGCCATCATTACTAATATAACATGAATTAGTAGAAACTTACTTTTCGTATTGTGGCTCGATAGTGATAGTATTTTTGAATAAATAAATCAGCACTGCATGGTTCATCGATGGCTTTAACTTGTAGTCAACTTTGTCTGCCATATGTTTCCTCTTTCTTATGGCGCCATTGAAAATTGAATCAAAAATATAAAAAAAAGATCCGACAGCACAGTCGCCATTTGTCATTTTAAATTTAAGTTTTGTTAACACCTATAAGTGCATACACTCTTTATCTTCTTTGTCTTTATACAGTAAAACCTCTATAAATTAATAATGTTGGGATTTTGAAATTTTATTAATTTATAGAGATATTAATTTACTAAAGTTTCCTTATTTAGATTTTTTATTTTAAGATATATTTATTCTAAAATAAGAACAATATTTTATTTTAGTGTATAGATATTTATTATCATTTTTTGAAATTTGACATTTGTATTAAATTTATTATATTACTTGGCGTATATAATATATATTTCATAGAATTTAAATATGGTTTTAGATATAATATTACTAAATCTCATCAACAATTTATTAAGTGTCAAGAAAATATAAAGAGAATTCCCTTGTAAATATAAAACAAACAATATAATAATAGGTTATTACTTATATAAAATATGTATAAATATAAATTATTAATTTATGANATATAATATATATTTCATAGAATTTAAATATGGTTTTAGATATAATATTACTAAATCTCATCAACAATTTATTAAGTGTCAAGAAAATATAAAGAGAATTCCCTTGTAAATATAAAACAAACAATATAATAATAGGTTATTACTTATATAAAATATGTATAAATATAAATTATTAATTTATGATTTTAATGGGACCATAAATTTACATAGAACTTTCTAAAAAAATATTATCTTATTATTTTATCGATTTGTGTCAAATTTTGAACCGGCCCAAATTGGAACCGGCAAAATTTATTAATTTAGAGAGATTATTAATTTATCGAGTATTAATTTATAGAGGTTCTACTGTATGTTAATTCCCAACCTCTATTTCCCGTGATTTTAAAACATAAGGTCCACACCACAATTGTTTGACAAAAAAAGGTCCAACCACAACAAAAATGTCAAGCCGTCACACAAATCCTAAACCATTTAACCGAAACGTTACCGACACTTTCGATCTCGTCCAACTCTTATACAAAAACAATATACAAAGACAAAAAAAAAAGCCTAAAAGATGTCACATGGGGTATTTATTTCTCTAGCACAAATTAGCAAATTTGGCAGAGAATATAGTTGGAGTCAAATGCAATCTGAAATGATTACAAGCAAAGGTGATGTGTCTTTTTATTATTTTATTGACTAAAATGGCCACAACCAGCTCCACAGATATTTCAACCCTCGAGACCGTTGATGTTAAAAGGCGTTGGTTACGGCATCAATCTCTAAAATCTCCCAAGAAATTTGTTAAAATCAGTAATTTCGGCACGAGAAAGATTTTTAAAGAAAACAAAACTTGACTTGCAGTTGCAATAAGAAGATAAAGTAGTAAATTACAAAAAAAAAGTTGAATTTGCATGGGTGGAGTTGTATAAATATAGTAGATAGATTCCTATCCTTCTCCACTATACTCACCAAAGCTGACTCTTCTCCTTCTATCTTTCTCATTTTTCCAAGAATAACTATTCTTTCTTTCTCTGAAAAATAACAAAACCAATAATTAACAAGTTTCTCTGTTGTGTTGTGTTATTTCTTATCTTCTGGGGATTTTTTTTTTTCTAATGGTAGTTTGAGTTTGACTTAAAGAATCTTCTCTTATATTGAGAGAGAATCAAATAAGAAGAAAAAACAGTTATATCAATGGCTGTTGAAGGTAAACATGTATCAGAGACAGAGAAGAACAACAACAACAACAACAAAGAAAGCAAAGAGATAGAGCTTCACAGGAACGACTTAGGTCTCGAAGATGCATCATCATCTTCATCATCGCCAAGAGGTGTACTTGGAAACAATAACAGCAGTAATTACAGCAGTTGCAGCTCTTTCTCCTCTGACGATAAATCATCATCATCATCTCCAGTGTCAAACACTCCTAATAAAAACTTTTCATCTTCCTCGCATGGTCTTAAATGGAACAAAATGCTTGAATCCATCAAGAAAAAGTCCATTCGACGATTCAAAGTGATGCCTTTCCTCGCAAGTCACCATCTCACCAGTAAAAACTTGCCTCGCAAGCAACCAAAGTTCTCTCCCTCTGAGAATTGCTTCTTCATGGCTAAACCCTCTTGGAGAAACTTCACCTACGAAGAACTCGCTGCAGCTACAGAGGATTTCAATCCTGGTAAAGCCACAAAAATAAACAAAAACAAAACCATTCTTCCATTTCTGATGTGAAAACTCTGTTTTGTTTTGTCTTTGTTAGAGAACATGATTGGTAAAGGAGGACATGCAGAAGTATACAAAGGAGTTTTACCTGACGGCGAGACCGTAGCCATCAAGAAGGTGATGAGTCACGGCAAGGAAGAAGAAGAAAGAGTGAGTGATTTCCTCTCAGAGCTAGGTATAATTGCACATGTAAACCACTCAAACGCAGCTAGACTTCGAGGTTTTAGTATTGATCGCGGTTTGCATTTTGTGCTTGAGTACTCTCCACATGGCAGCCTCGCTACTATGCTCTTTGGTAACTTCAAAGTTTCTAAAAAAATCTTGTTTCTACTTCATTTTCAGTCATTTGTTTGAGATCTTGTCTCTTTGTAGGAACAGAGGAGTGTCTGGAGTGGAAAATAAGGTATAAAGTGGCTTTAGGTATAGCTGATGGTCTGAGTTATCTTCACAATGATTGCCCTAGACGGATCATTCACCGTGATATCAAAGCTTCTAACATATTGCTCAGCCAAGACTACGATGCTCAGGTAAATATGATTCTTACATTGACATTTCTGTAAGACTTTGGTTGGATTCGAGAACTATGTATTAGAGACAAAATCTCACACATCTAAAGTTGGATGGATCTTGAGTAATATATACGAGATAGGACAATCCACTTATCACATTTGTTTTAGATTGAAAATTTATTTAACTAAGTATATGGTATCAGATCCCGATCTACATTAATCCGGTTCAAAGTTGGTCCATCGATACTTGTCCAAACATTTCGATATTGACTCTGAAAGAGCCATTATCTCGTCTTAGAGACCCATCTAACTTAATACCATGCACATCTCTTGTTTCAGATTTCAGACTTCGGACTTGCAAAATGGCTCCCAGAGAACTGGACTCAACATGTTGTATCCCCCATTGAAGGAACATTCGGGTAAAAAAAAAAGACAAAAGGTTCTAAAAGTTCCAATGAACAAATTTAATGACCAAGAACTCACTGTCGTTTTCTCTCTTCAGGTACATGGCTCCAGAATACTTCATACACGGCATTGTTGATGAGAAGATCGATGTGTTTGCCTTTGGTGTACTTCTTCTAGAGATCATAACCGGTCGTAGAGCTGTTGATACCGCCAACAGACAGAGCATCGTTGCATGGGTACTAATAATAACGCTTTTGATAGTCTCTAAGTCAAGTATTCTTTGTTTTAACTTTTCTTTTTGGTGATACAGGCAAAGCCTTTTCTAGAGAAGAATAGTGTTGAGGACATTGTGGATCCTCGTCTAGGAAATGAGTTTGATCCAGTAGAGATGAAACGAGTGATGCTAACAGCTTCAATGTGTATACATCATATAGCTATAATGAGACCTGACATGACCCAAGTATGCTAGCTATCTAAACCAACCTTATCTTTGGTTCAACTACATAGAGCTTGTGTATCAGTGTTGATCCTAGTTCTTGTGCAGTTGGTGCAGCTGTTGCGTGGAGAAGACAGACCAGCTGAGCTGCAGCAGAAGCCAGGTGAAATGGTCGAGGTCAGTGTGGACGCGTGTGATCTACAGGATCACACATCCTCCTCATACCTTAACGAACTAACCCGCCATAGGCAGCTCCTTATGGAGTAAGTAGAAGCAACTTAATCCCTCATAATAAATGTTTTAATGTCCCCTCACTGGAGTTTTGCATTTTATATTCTCCATTGGTTGCTTCTTTTATGTCCCCAACCAAAAACTGTGAATATTATCATCAACATTTGTCTCTATCAATGTTGTTCTACTGAACTTTGTTTAGTCTCAACTCTGAAAGAAACAATGGCTACAGAAACAGAAACATATTTCATAAAATGGAAACAAGAAGACAGACGCAAGTGAGACATTCCATATCCTTCTAGTCAGCTTATGGGGTTAGCTAGAATCAAGAAGTTGAACATTAGCACAGTTGTGTATCCCTTAAAAGACTGATTAAAAAAACTAAAAAGAACAAAACAGACTCCATCAAATCACATCACATGATTGATCTTAGTAAGTCTGGTTAGGCCAGAGGAAGAACTCAGCCTGATTTGGCGCCATAAGTCCCATTGAACCTTGAACGTTGTTGGAGTTGTTATTATTAGAGCCTGTTGAGTCAGAAGCTTGAACATTCGCCGGAAAATGCTGGAAGAAGTTCTGTTGCTGTAGCTGTTGTTGTTGTTGCTGTTGATGATGGTATAGAGCAGCTGCTTCAAAAGGGATACCACATGGAATCATCTGAGATTGAACGGTTGAGTTAGGACAAAGAGCGAAGTTAATGCTACTATGGTTGGTAGATGACTGAAGCTGTTGTTGTTGGAAATGGTGGAGTTGATGCTGATGACTGAGGATTGGTTTCTGCTCAGCTGAAGCAGCTTCTAAAGAGAGTTTAAGACGTTTTGCTGCACCACCAATGGGAAGTGCACTCTTCATGATGGCTTCAACATCGTAACGGTTCATCTCAAAGTTGGTTACAGCGTTTATTCCCCTGAATTTGATTGCTGCTATGTCGTATGCCTCAGCTGCTTCCTCTTCCGTTGCTACAACCACCAATAAAAACATAACTAAATACAGCTTTGATTATTATTAACTTTAATCTTTCAGACAAAAGTTTAGTGATGGACTTACCAAAGGTTCCTAGGTAAAGATCTTTGTTGCCTGCAACACGGCCGATTCTTGCTTGCCAACGTCCTTGTTGATGATGCCTTGTAACACCTCTGTATATCGAAGCTCCTCTAGAGAATCCGCTACTCTTCCTGTAATTTATATCGGTTTAATTTCTGGAAAAACATATATAGATATAATAAACCATTTGATTCTTTGTTTATGGAAGTTACCTCCTAAGGGAAGCAATGAACTCTTGTTTGGTCATGTGTTTCATTTCCTCCAGTTCTTTTGAGTAATTTGTAATCTAAAAAACCATTGGAAACTGATTAGTGAAAAGTGACCAAGACATATAAACACTACACAAACTGGTGAAACCAAAAGAAGATAAAGAAGGTACTTACAGGGAAGTTGGTGGTAGCAGCAGCATTCCAGTATTTAAGAGCTGCTAGATCGTAAGCTCGAGCTGCTTTATCTTCTTTGTCATATCCACCTGAATCATTCACAAAAAATCATATTAAAGGCTTGTATATTATTGTTTACTGTTGCTGTAAGAACCAACTGGTTTGAGATTTTGTTCTTACCCAAGTACACTGTTGATTTAAGTAGAAGCCAATATCCAGAGGTACATGCAAAAAGTGACAAAAAAATTAACAAACTTAGCAAAAGAAATGATCAGAAAGATGAAAAAGAGATGTAACAAATATAACCAAACACATTCTATCTCATACAAATACTTATTCTGTTATGCAAGAAGATAACAGTAAATTAATTATTAACCAAGCATGTTCAAGACTTTATTAGGGTTACTGATAGATACCAGTCTGATACTCAGAAAGCAAAAGTGAGAATTTGAAAAGAAAAGAAAAAAGAGTGAAATTTTTTGGATGTTGTTAAACTCTAGATCCCCACTCCTTGGTGGTGGTACTGGTAGCCCATAGCAAAAATAAAAAATAAAGCAAAAGCCACTGAGAATATTCAGACTTTGCTTTGTTGATGTGAACACTACACATAAATCAATCTGACACCCTTATGGACACCAGAAACCCTACACTCATGCACTCGTGAAATTTCAATATATTTTGAAATTTTTTATCTTTCTTCACTGTAAGCAACATCATTCTAGATATAAATCAAATCAACCTCTAATTAAAGTCAAGTACTCTTCACTTCCAGCCCTATGAAGCTAAAACTGAAGAAACAGACCAATGGTCTCACATCACATGCCTACATAACATCAAGTCATGTATGCTTTAACACTGTCTATATAGGTGAAGAGAAATGTGGGAATAGAGAGGGTCAAAGTGGGTCCATAAACATGTCAATTAAAGAAACAGAGGTTGCATCATATAGGCAAATGCCATGAGGACCCATCTTATGTACCTTTAGGCTTTAGTACGTTTAGTAAGTGTGAAATGAAAGAATTTCGAAATGTAAAAAAAGACAAAGGAACAAAATGGCGGCACACTTCTGCTAAATATATGCAAAAATTAACAACAGCTATATATTATATTTGTCACTTCTTTTTTTCCCTTTAGTACTGACTCAAAAGTATTGCCAAGCTAAAAAAAAAACCTTGGCTCCCCTACACAACCTAAAGTTATAACATTCAATCATCATATAAAGATATAGACAGATCAATAAAATAAAGGAAAAGGTAAAGCTTCTTTTGAATCTTGCATTCAATTTCATTGACAAAACTCTTTGTCCTATTATCCTATAGTTCACTCTTCTTAAAATCCTTTTAAATCCCACTTAGACCACACTGAATAACAATTTAAAACAAATAAACATTGTAAATAGTGATGAAATCAAATAAGAAGAAAATATATACCTTGACGTCCTTTCCTGGCCTGACCTTCTCTTCTACAGCTATTATCCCATAGATGTGCTTCATATCTTCCCGTCCATCTATGTCTGCATCAAATCAAAAATGTTATTAATACTTCATTTAATAATAAGTGCATAAATATTAGAACTTTAATACATATCTTTTGACTAATCAGAAAACAATGTCCTAATCACAACTCAAGTGACTTAATTAGAACATACCTTGTAACTCCTCTGTAGATAGAAGTCCTTTGTCCAAACGTATCAGGGATCTTCTTGTTAGAACAATCTGCTGTCTCCACAGCCACAACAGCCTTCTCCTTCTCAGAAACCGTCTTGTCTTCCCTATTGTTGTTGGTTCTTTCACCATTGTAACGATGCTCAGCGATCTGATTATGATCACTACTAGTCCTGTTCGTTGTGTTATTAACGTTAACACCAAGTGACAAAGCTCCTCCTGTGTTAACTCCACCGTGAAAACCACCAAGCTCCGGACCGGAAGACTCCACCACGTGTCCTAAATACTCTCCAGTTAGATGAGTCCTCCCTATGGAGGCCGAGTCTTCTACTTCGGAACCGGAGTTAGTTGAGAAGGCGGTTTGAAAACCGGCCATGGTTTTAAACTCGTGGTTATGATCAGAGTAAAACCCGGTTTGGTGGTGGGTTTGGTTTTGGTGGTGACGTGGATCGTAGATGTGAGTGAGGGAAGAAGAGTCTTGTGTTTCGGTTTGACTATTGTCACCGAGAAAATCTTCAAGCTTAGGGATGTGATTGTGAGAATGAGTTTGTGGGTCTACGAACGTTGCTAGGATCGTTGAATCAGCCATTGAAGCTGCTGCTATCTGAGCTTCATCTTTGAAAAACTCTTGAGGCTTTTGATTTGTCCAACCTATAATAAAAAAAAAAAAAATCAACACATATTAGTAACAAAGATCATTAGAGCATATACATGTTGCTTAGAGTAAATTTTATTTTATTTTTGGTTATATACCATAGAAATTATCGAGGAGATAAGGAGAAGAGGAGGCGGCGGAAGAAGGGTCATAGGACACGAACTGAGACTGATCAGATGACCTCAACATGTCCATTGGTGAGAGTGAAAACGTTAACCAGTTCGTCATCGGAGCCATCAACTTTTGCTTTCTTTTTTTTTTTTTTTTTTATAACCAAAAGAAAGAGAGAGAGAGAGAGAATGGAACACGCCTACAAATTTCTATTGTGATTCTGCAGAAAAGGACAAAGAAGAAGTAGAGTTTTTTTTTTCTTCTTTAAAATAGTACTAACTTGAGATGAAGCGTTACACTAAAGCTTTCAAAGAACTTTGATGAGGGGGAGGAAGACTAGTAGAAACGATAATCACGAGGTTGTGATTTAGTATCAGGAGATCTATCTAATCTATTGCATGTCTTTTTGAAGAAATAATTAAAGAGATCAATAAAGAGAGCAAATATGCATGTAAACACTTGTCTGAGGTTATAAATGAAGAGAAGAAAAGAAGATGGGAAGCAGAAGCTCTTTAAGGAACGTTTCAGACGTATACTTATAAAGAAAGGAAGAGAAAGAAAATCGCTTTTCTTTAATCAAAATAATAATAATACATTTGCAGTAGAGAGAGAGAGAGAGAATGTGCATGTAGCTAGAGAGAGAGAAGAGTCAAAAAACAAAAGGGTAGAGCGGTTTCTTCTGTGTCGCCCGGCGTAATACCGGAGGGGATTTTTGAGTGAGATACTACCTATCAATTTTAGCTTTAACTTTTTGTTCGTTTTGAATATTTTTTGTCTCATTATTCAAAACGGTGAAAATAACTCTCTTCTCTTATGATATGACTAATATCATATAAGACGTACTTAATTCGTTTTTTGTTATAACCAGTTACATAAATTTTGTTTGGACATCAATTCATTTTTACAAGTCTTCAAACTTTGACTGTCGTTTATGCGTAGAGACACTATGCTTTCACTGAACGCTAATACATTTCACACGGTAAACATATATAACCATGAGAACTTTTTCTTTGGTCGGCAGGAAAAAAATGAGATCCATTTTTAGCAAATGTCATTTTTATTTTGGGGAAAATAATAGGGTTGCTTTTTAAGAATGAAGAAGACTAACACTTTATCATTTTTTTTAAACTACGTACAATATTATTGATTTTGTTTAAATGTGAGTTAACTTAGTTTGAGTTTGTTACATTTGTTTTGTTATCTATTGGAAACAAAATGTGTATTTGCTTTATGTGATATCCAAATTGTTAAGGTAAATAAAACCAAATACTAATAATATTTTGTTCGATGCGAGAAATTATTTTTTAAATTTATAGGCCTTGAGTATTAACAAATATTACGCATGAACAAAATTATTAAATAGAGTACCCAAAATGAAGCTAAACAAACAATAAAAACGTTTTGTTTTAGAGGTGGCTTTTATTATATAGCACTGCGGGGGGGGGGGAATTTTGTCTAGAACAAGGTTCGCAAAAGACCCGGGAGGTGCTAATTTAATTACCAAATTACCCCTTGACTCTAAACCAAACTGAACCACTAGCTGTTTCCACTTGTTGTACATGCATTGTGACCCTTTCTTCTCTCATTCCCCCCCATTCCTTTTTCAACCCACCCAACCGGATTTTACTCTTTCGGGTTAGGTTTTCTTAACTTTTTTACCGGCCTACGATTTTTTTAAAGTCTAACCTAAATGAAAGAGATGACCAGAGTAAGAGGATCTTTTTTCTGTAATATACTCTCTAAAAAGAAAATTTAAAACTTAAAATTTGATGTTTTAAAAATAAATCTCTATATTTGAAATTTCAATACTCAGAATTTTAAATTTGAAGTTTAATATTTTAATTACATTTTGGTCCTTGCAATAACAAATATTTTCTTGTTTATTTTTTTAATCCTTAAATTTTTTTATATCTCATAACCATTTCAAATTAAATTTTATTCTTTTATAAATTTAAGTTTTAGACATAAAACTAAATAAAAATTTATAATAAAATTTAAATATTTGCTTGTAGTTAAATATGTTTAAAAAATTTAAAAATAAAAATCGGCAACAAAAATATGGTATTCTACTTGTAGCTAATATTTAATCATGTATTTGTATTTATAATTTTATATTTTAGTGTAAGATTTTACTAATTAATATTGTTGTATAATGTATATATATATGTGTGTGTGTGTTTGTTATTTATATTTTTATGAATTTACATTAACTATGAAAAATAAAAGGATCATAATGTAAAATACAAATAATTTTAAAATTAAATTTGAAGTTTTGCTTTGGAGAACAACTTTTTGAAACTTCCAATATAGAGTTTTAGAAACTTCAAAATATAGAGTTATTTTTGAAAATGCTATAAAAACATCTCTAATAGCATTCTATAATTTGTTTTTTTTATATATTTCATTCTAAAATAGTATAGTTATATTAAAAAAATTAAATTTGCTCCAATAATTTACTATATAATAGTACAACATAGAAAATATTATCATTTTACTTTATAAAAATACGAAATAACATTTTTTTATATTTCACTCTACCATAGAGTAATTCTGTTAGAGTAAATAATTTTAGCAAATTCAATTATATAATACAATTATACTATTTTAGAGCAAAATATAGAATAGATTATAGAATTTCATAAGAGATAGTCTAAATCTATTTACTTGAGCCAGCCATTAAACGATATTTCGTGCTATATTTATAAAGTTTAAAAAGAACAAGATCCCTTACAAGACAAAGACTAACTTGTACCGTAGACTTAACAGATAATACGATGGGAACAATGAACATCCTACGAAATTTGTCACATTTAAATGTTGAATGTAAAGCTCTCATTTAAACTATGGAACACTCTATATTTTTAGAAGTCATTTTCGTGATAAATTCTTTTTAATTGGTAAAAATGATGTTGATCACATAGAACAAATAGCCAGATTTTACTATTTGTATGGATGAATATCGATGTTAAAAAATAATTTTCTTTTAGTTCTATATTGTACATGTATAGAGAGAATAAAATATAATGGTGAACAAATTTACGCGTTGTACACAAAGTTCTATTTAAAAAATTTGAAGTTCAAGGCTGAAATCCATAATCTTCTTAAATTTGAAAATATAACATATAATATTAATTTAGTCTAAACAGTAATTCAAAGTGAATTCTCTGATCCAATGACCATGATTTTCTGCGGGTGAACTATTGACATTTGGTCACAAAATTATATTTCTGTTTTATTATATATTTTCTCTGTTTTATATTAAGTGTCATTTTATGTTTATTTATTATTTTTAAAAAGTGTAATTTTACAGTTACAATGAATTTGGTATATTAGATTTATCTTTTCTTTTTTTTTTGAATAACTGATAGACCTTTATTTAAATTATTTTTATTTAATTAAGTATATATTAGTTTATTATACAATGTTTTTAATCTAGTACAAAATGTCAATAACATCTATTAGATTAAAAGAGAAGTCATAACTCATTTCATGTGTGATTTTTTTATTTGGACTATTAGCAAAAAAAATTTTTATTAAATATATTTTATTTCTTTGTAACCATTTCAATCATAATATCTTTGATATCTTTTTATTTTTATATAAATATGTATTAATTCTTTTTAAAAAATCTGTTGAAAAGATTTTAGAAAGATCTTAACTTTAAAAACATTATAAAAATATTTCACTGATTAATAACTTGAATAAAATTTTGAATTAGTATTGAAAATAATTATACATTAATATATATATATATATATGAAAACAGATTTTATTATTTTTATCTATTTAATAATCATAAACTATCAAATTAAATGAAATTATTATAATAAAGTGAATGTTATAAATTTATATTAAATTGATAAGTTAATCAATTTGATTTTCATAAATAGAAAATATTAATGTTAAAAAATATATAATATATTGGCAGAACAGATTAACATTAGTAACTATAAATACATGTATAAAATTAACATATCTTAAACTTTATAATATCATATTATCTTTATAAACATAAAAAGTTTAATAAACAGTAATCTAACTTTGAAACTCAAATAATAATTTAGTATAAATTATATATAAATAATTTTCAAATATAATTTTTCATGCATATATTAAATTAATAATTAAATATATAGCCAATTAGATAAATATATAATAAAAAACAATTGATATTAACATACAAACTATAAAACTATTGTGTTTGCAGTAGTTATATAAACATTTAAACATATGACTAATGTTATTAATAATATAGAACAAATATATATATATATATATGAAAACAAAACCACGCGGTTGAGTGGATCCAAATCTAGTTTATATTAAAACGGACAGAGTATTGATTAGTTATCTTTGGTTTGCTTTTACACAAATTAGTAATTCTAGCTATATAGTTAATTGAACTGCATTACTTGAATTACACCAGTGGTTATTTAGGGATATAGTCTCAGGCTTACTTTTGTTTTTAAAACAAATTATAAGATTTGGTTTTTGGGCTTAATATTAAGGAAAAACTCCAAAAAACATTGAATAAACTTTTCATCTTAATGGATCAAAAAATTAATTATTATTTTCAGACCCAAAAAATATTTAATATTTTTAACAAACAAAATTGTCTATTATTAATCATTTATTTAAATCATGTAATTTAAGACATGTTAATGTATTTTTTATTTTAAATAACAATCACTTTGTTTTGATAAATTTCAAGGGTAACTTTTAAATAATTTATTGTTTTATTTTGCTTAAATAATTTACTGATTTAAAAAAAAAAATGTAAAGCAAAACCAAATCTAAAAACTAAAATCCAAAACCAAAAGCTGAAAATACTGGTTATATTTTTTGTTTTTGTTTATTTACAACATAAACTATTGCAAATTTTAAATTTTTTTGTCATCGTTTCAGTTTTAATTTAAATATTCAATTATTTGGGATTTGTTTGTTGGTAATATCAGTTCAAACTAATTCAGCGGGTCTAAAAATTAAAAACTCAAACTATGAAAATCAAAAATAGAAACTTAAAAACTAAAAACCAAAAACCAAAATCTAAAAATAAAAACTAAAACTAAAAACTAAAAACTAAA